TGTTCTTCTTTTAATATTAAGAAAAGAGAAAAGAGAGAGAGAGAGAGAGAGAGGGAGAGAAAAAGAGGGAAACATATAAGAGGAAAAGTTTCTTTTTCTTTTTTTTTTTTTTTTTGCAAAAGTAAGGAAAATATCGAAGACTACGTTTTAAAATATAATTTACATTATTTTCCATAATCGTTTTGCAATACGATTTTCTCGAAACGTTATTTCGTTGAAACACACGACTTATACTATAAACATTTCCATTTAAATATTATTTATAACTTCAACTTTTTTTTTAACTAACTTATAAATAATCTTTGTTTTTTTTTTTCTTGTACCATATCCATTTTATTCTAAATGTTTTTCTAAACAAAAAAGATAATAGAAATAATATACAAAATTTGCATATTTTTTTTTTTATTTTTCAATATAATTGTGTGGCATTTTATTTTTTTATACGATTTTATTTAAATTAATTTATAAAAGAAGAAATGGTAAGTTAGTGTATCATTAAAAAATACAATATTATAAATTCTGTCCAATCAATATTGTTTTTTTTTTTTTTTATATAATATTATTTAGAAATATTAATATTATTACTACTACTATTACTACTACTATTCGAATTTTATATATCGATTGTTTTAATAATAATATTAAATATATAATAAATATAATATAATAATATTATTATAATAATTATAATAATATATAATTAATATATAATAAAATAATATAATAATATTAACTAATATATTAATATATATATCATATTTATTATATTATTATATTAAAACCGTGGATAAAATTCGAATAGTTTTTTATTATTTATAAATAATAATCTTTCTTATATTCTTCACTCTTCCTTATACGTTTTGTTTCCTTTTCTTTTTTTCTATTTTTTTTTTGGTCTTTTTTCTGTTTTATTGTATATAGATAATCAACGAATGAGATAATTTGAAATATCTGTGATATAAAATACAAAATGACGTTGAGACAATAATGCTTTTATATGCAAACAGGAAAAATCTTTATTCTATTTATGCAATTAAAAAAAAAAAAAAAAAAAAAAAAAAAAGACAACTCGTTTATACTCCAGGACGTTAATTAACATCTTACATAATATTTAATCGCAAACATAGATTATGTGATATTTACTAGTTAACGCGATAATGCCATTTTAATTATGCGATCGTTATGACAGAACAAAAATATTTAAAAAAAAAAACCCAAATTTAGAAAATTTTATATAATATATATATATATATATATACAGTGGGTGTAGAAAGTATTTGTACACCGATCAATTTGAAATAAAATGTTGTGAAATTGTAGTTTATTAATTAATTTTGTATAAACAACGAATATGTACAGATTTTTGAAAGTTTTTACAATACATATAATGAAATGAAAAATCATTCTTTTTTTTTTTTTTTGAATAAATTAAAAAATTGACAAGTAAAACAAAAAAATCGGCAGAAACATAGGAGCTTTTTAAGTATTCGTACAATTCTCATTTGGAATTATTTGCAAAAGAGTTTGTTTGTAAGACTTTGTTGATAATGTAAAAACATTAGGTAATTTTTTTTAATTATAATTGACCCTCGTCACTATGTCTGTAAATGTTATTGGCATCAATTGAACGAAAAATTTTGAAAGATTGAAAATTATTTTTGGAAAATTGAACAAAAACGTGTGGAAACAACTATAGAAGAAAGATAAAAGAATGTAGATACATACATATATATATATATAAAATGAAATTGAATCGATAAAGTTATCATAGAATCGTGTGAAATAAAACGAGAAAATTGTACGTTCCAAATTTATATATATATATATATTTATTTTTATTTGTTTTCTATTACGATCAATAAAACAGTTTCATAGAAAATTTTCGACAACAGCTGTGCAGGTGAATTCGTAAAACGAGAAATGAAAGAAAGAAAGTAAAATAAAAATAAATAAATAAAAAAATAAAGAAAGTATTAGTGAAAAAAAAAACCAAAAAAAAAAAAGAAATGAGATAACGAAATTTTTCATACAAAAAAAAAAAAAAATGATTGTAAAATACGTCCAAACGTGTATTTTCCCTTGGAAAATATTGTTTTCTCGAGCGTTCAAGAAAATCAGGGATTGTCTTGACGGATGTTTCAAAAACCCTTTAGAGAAGAAAAATAAACAAGGAACTTGAAAAGGGTAAGGTTTACAAAATGAGTAAATGTGTAATTTTTAAAATGAGTCGAAAAAGTATGGAAAAAAAATAAAAATTAAAAATTATCAGTCGGGTTTTTTTACGATAGCGAACATTTTTATGATTTCAAATGCAAAAATTTGATTAGCGATAATTATTATCAGTTACATAGTCTAAATAATAAGAAAATGTTTCGTCTTAGAAACGATAGTTATCATTTTGAACGTTCCATTTACAAATATAATTTATGTAATTCTTGTTTTTGTTTTTTTTGTTTTTTTTTTGTGTTTTCAACTAAACTCCCGTTTATTTATCACTTTATCATTAGTATTATTTTCAAAAGATGACCAAAAAGAAAAGAAAAAACAGGAATATTAATTATTTTTTTTTTTTTTTTTGAAATGAAAGATAAATATTTGAAACGGAAATAATTGTACTTTGTTCTAATTTGAAAATAATCGGGAGAAAAAAAGAAAGATAAAATAACGAATACAAATTGATATTATCTTTCTACGATTGACATTATCTAACGGAGAAAAACGTATAGACACAAAAATTTGACAATTGTGCTAAATAATATTTCACCTAAAATTTCATTAATTATCTTCTCGTAAATTTATTATTCTTAATTATAATTGAAATCATCGTAATGATCAAAATTCATCAATAACTTATTCAAAACAAATTCTAATACCAATATATTTCTAATCTTCTTTTGTTTTGTAGCTTTGTTACGTTATTTCGAATGAATTTCGAATGATATCTATGAATTTATTTAAAGATTAATAAAAAAAACAAAAATTTGTTTGTCGTATAAAATATTATATGACGTAAATATAAATGAAAAAAAAAAAAAAAAACAAACAAAAAAAAAGAGTCAATGTTATTATTAACATCATCAGAATTCTGATGAAATATTACGCGCGAGTTAATATTTTTAAAAATAATAAATACATTTAAACAACACATATATACTTAAGAATTTATGTTTATGGTACAAATGTACAAATTATTGCGTCTGAAGGAACTTTGCCATTTTTTATCGTTTAATCTTAATCTTCTAGATAATGTCAAAGATCTTGGTATTCGAAGTCAAGACCTAATGAGATATTCTCTTAAAAATAATCATTTAATCTTTGATCTCAAAAATATTTATATTTTTATTATTTATTATTAATATTATTATTATTATTATTATTATACTTTTCTCATCATCATCTTCTTCTTCTTCTTCTTCTTACGAATATTCAAACAATTTTTAATCAAATTCATTAAAAATATACGTCGTTTTTAGCAAAACATGATATTTGAATACTTTCCAAGTTAACTTCATACCATTTCATGAATCTTTAGAATATTTTACATAGAAAATATTTATCTTTTTATACGCGAGATTTATCTTGCAATTTGTGTGTGTGTGTGTGTGTGTATATTACGTTTAAAATAATTTTACAAGATATTATTGACGCAATTAAAAATTATATTATGAAAAAGTCGGATATTCTTGTGAATAAATTTTATTTAAAATAAAAAAAAAAATAAAAAATTAAATAAATAAATAAATAAATAAATAAAAAATAAAATCGATAACAAATATCAACGAGGTTTATCGCGCGAATTTCTTGAAATTAATCTTACCGATATCATCGATCGATGTGATTGCAATTTTTTCAAACAATTGACAACGATTTTATTCATTCTTCTATTTATTTGAAAAAAAAAGAATAATTTTTTTCTAAAAAAAAAAAAAAAAAAAACTGTCAACGCGCAAGAATTGCAAAATTTGTTCAAATCTTTCGGGTTTTTGTGGTTTTTGTGGGTTTTCATTCTTCGATCACATTTGCAAATAAATTTTGCGTCGTTGCTATCGATTTCCGTCAGGAATTGGGACAATCGGGGTCTCTCTCTTTCTCTCTCTTTCTCTCTCTCTCTCTTTCGAAAGAGAGTGAGAGACAACATTTAACAGCCTTACACCAAGTGCATCCTATCTTCGAATAGGAGGATAAAAGGATATAAACTTTGGAAAAATAAATACTTGAGAGATTTCGATAAGAAATAAGGAAACGAATTTTTAATTTATTTTTTTTTTTTTTATTTTTTTTTTTTACGGTTGTTTCTTATTACGAAAAATTAAAGTTCGAAATTGAAGAAGAACAAGAAAACAAAGGCAGAAAACTGTGCGGTGCGTGAATTGTTTTATTTTCATTATTCAAGGTTAATTAAGAAAGCGATTAAAACGTGAAAGAACGAATATTTATTAATTATATATATTTTGCAATAGTTTTTATTATTTGCAAAAATGTCACAAACAAATTTTCTCTTTTTTTTTTTTTTTAAATTCCTCTTCAACGCGAAAAAAATAATAATAAAACGCATAAATATTATTTGTTTTTCCCCATTGGAATTTTCGCAATGAAAAATGACAAATATTCATTTTATGAATAATAACAGAACGAAAGTTATATTATCTTGTTATAATGTAATTTGTTTTTCGCTCGTAATTAATTATCAGCGCAATCTTTCATTTCCATGATACTCTTCTTTACCGACTGATAAGTCAACACTTTGCCGTCCGCACATTTTTCGAGTCGCCGTGGCGCTGTCGTCGGCGAGATTCACGCTGAATGAAAATAAGTCACGCGGCCGGCATAGTGTTAAATATCCAGAAAAATACTAAAGTAACCGTAGTGTGTTCTATATTATCGATCAACGATATTAAAAATAACTTATTTATCGATTAATCAAAGAATCGCTGTATTATTTGTTTTTAATGTCTCTCGTTAATGTTGTTGTTCTTAAAGTCAAGATTAGGTTAGGTTAATTTAAAGTTTAAATATATTTTATCTTTAATCGTGAGGAAACGTCACCAAATGTTTAAATACTTGTGTGCAATAAACGTTCTTTGTAGTATTATCGAATATAATTATTATTGTTATCATATGAAATAATAATAATAATAAAAATAGTAAAGATAACAATACCAAAAGTCGTTCTACGTGTTATTATATGTTCGTCATTTGAAAAAATATTATTGAGCGTTAGTAACATTATTTTGTGTAACAATCTGTTAAAACAATACTATCAACATGGTTGAGAAAAATGTTTGGGAATCAGGGCCAAGTGTATATAATTACACTGAGGTTTGTTTGTTTAAATAATAAAATTCATTAGTATCATTTATTATAATTACACAATTCTTATATATATTACATTTATATTATTATTCTTGTAATCTATGATTTATTAATATAAACTGTGTTATTTATTAGATGTATGTAACAATAGATTTTCTTTGATCTTTTAGGCCAATGAAAGAACACCATTATTACAAAATACTCAAAGCAACATGGCAGAAAGGAATGTTGGAATTTCTCAAGAAACCCTTGTCTCCCAAGCTGGTCAATCGATCAAAGCGAAGAGATTTTTTCAATACATCGCAAGTTTGGCTGCAACATTAGGAGCAGTAGCAGCAGGAATGATGTTAGCATGGACCTCGCCAGCTGGTAAGGGCGGTGTCAAATTATCACAAGTATATAATATTTCTATTAACGAAGAAGAATTCTCATGGATTGGAGCATTAGCACCGTTTGGTGCTGCAGTAGCATGTATACCAATTGGTATTCTAACAGATATAATTGGCAGAAAAAATTCAATGTTAATGCTTGTAGTTCCTTTTACAATTGGTTGGTTGCTCATAATATTTGCAAATTCCGTAGCTATGTTTTATGTTGGAAGGTTCATTACAGGTTTCAGTGGTGGTGCCTTTTGTGTAACAGCTCCTATGTATACGGCAGAAATAAGTGAAAGTGAAATTCGGGGAAGTACAGGTTCATATTTTCAATTGCTTCTGACAGTTGGTATTTTATTAGTATATCTTTTAGGTACCTGTGTAGATATGTTTGTATTATCCATTATTTCTGCAATTGTACCATTAATCTTTGCCGTAGTATTCTTCTTTATGCCAGAAACACCAACATATTATTTAATGAAAGGAAATGAAAGTGCTGCTAGAGCAAGTTATATTCGACTTCGTGGATCACATTATAATGTAGAACCGGAATTAAGTATACAGAAAGAAACGCTGGAGCAATCTAGTAAAAATAAGACATCTTTCTTTGCTGCATTGAGATCGAAGGCTTGTAAGAAAGCTATTATAATATCATATGGTCTGATGTTATTTCAACAATTAAGCGGTGTAAATGCAGTTATATTTTATGTTGGTTCTATATTTGAGGAGGCAGGTGGTGATCTTGATCCAAATGTAGCTAGTATCATAGTAGGCGTAATGCAAGTAGGTGCAGTATTTGTTAGCACGTTGGTAGTTGACCGTTTAGGTAGGAGATTATTACTTATGATATCTATCGTTGCTATGTGTACATGCACCTTTTTACTTGGTATTTACTTCTTCCTATCTCAAGAACAAGGTGTAACTGGCATAGGCTGGTTACCGCTCCTTTCTGTTTGCGTTTTTATCATTTTATTTTCACTTGGATTTGGTCCTCTACCATGGATGATGATTAGTGAACTTTTTGCTCCAGAGATTAAAGGTATCGCTGGTAGTAGTGCTTGTTTATTGAATTGGTTAATGGCATTTATTGTTACCAAAGTTTATGCTAATTTAAATAATGTTTTAGAATCCTATGGTACATTTTGGTTATTTTCAGTAATTTGTGCTATAGGTATTGCCTTTGTTATTATTTTGGTACCGGAAACTAAAGGAAAAAGTTTAGAACAAATTCAAGAAGAATTAAACACTTAGTTAGATTATTAGAAGAAATCTCTAGCATCTATAAACATGTAAAATACATTGTAATATAAGACATTAAACATTTTCATATTGCAAGACTGATTCTTTTATAAATATTCAAAGTCTGTAATATGTTATTACATATAATATATATTTATATAATGTTATTTATATTAAGAGACATATATATATATATTTTATAAACTATTTCAAATCATTCGGTTAGATATATAAAATATGTTATATAATGCAATCTTTTATTCGAAATTTTACAATGTATATTGTTATCATTACACACACACATACACACACACACAAAATGGTAATTAAAATTAAAAAACAATTTAATTTAAATTTAATGTTTACTAATATTAATATAAGTAAATATGCATAAGAATAATATTTTATTGTACGGTATCAAATAAATGAAGCAAAAATTAATAAATTGTAGCCAAAATTTATTAACACACTAAATATGAATAATTAAAATATTTTTGTTCAATAAACAAAAAAAATATCGAATGTTAAATTGTTATATTATAATTAACAATTCTATATTTTGATGGATAATTAAACGAAAATGGGAAAGAATGAGATCATGTTAATATTTACGTAATCGCATTATAATAATATTTCAAGAATTATTCACATAACAGCATACATTTCAAGATAAATGTAAATTATGGGTAATAATAATAATAATTTTTATATAAATAAATAAAACCGTTTGTTTTATTACGATATTTATAACATTTCAAAAACCTAATATAAGAAATAATTAAAAGAAAGAATACAAATAAAATACACATATTCCTATTAAATGTCTATTTAACGTAAGTTATGTATGTGCTTGTACATAAATACTTTATATTAATGTATATATATATACTATACAAGTTAATATATATTGTTTATGGAAATATGTGTTCATGTATATACAAATGTCTTTGGGTGCTAACGTTTATATAATCCAAATTTTTTTTTTATAAATTCATGTATATATATATATATATATACATGTATTCGTAACTTCAAGTTCAGTTATGTTTACAATGTTAGTAATGCAATGAATTATACGATTTAAATTTGAAACGTAACGAAGCAGTTTAGTTCGAAATTATTGCGATAGAAAGATTCATTTACGATTTAATATCTGCGAAGATTAATTCTTTATTATTATTATTTTTTTTTTAAATTATTTATAAATATAATAATAGAAAAATAATAAAAGGTTGGTGCCAAAGATCCTGACAATAAATGGTATTCATTTAAAAGGTACGTACAATTAAACGAAATTTTTCAATGAAACTTTAAACTTATTCATTAGTGATAAAAATATTGAACAAAAAAAATTAATTAATTAATTAATTAATTAATTGATTAATTATCGATATCCTTTAATTGTAATTTCTATTCATATAACATGAACAATATGATTAAAACACATCACTAACGAGAAGAGAGCCAAGTTAAAAGGACACAGATTTTTCTTTTGTTTAATTCTACCCCATTAGAACTATACAGTATGGCAATAGAAAAATCCAACAATACTTAATTATTTTAAATAAAAGGAAATAAGAAATTTAACATTGATTTTTATATACCAATTCGTTTCACGTTAAATGACAAAATAATATTTTATAATTAAATTTAAAAAAAAATCAATTCACATCCTACTATCAGCTTGGCTACCTTTTTGTAAAATATGAAACTTTACAAGGTTTAAACATTTAATTTGAAATTGAATTGTTTTTCAAAAAATCAGATTAATAATCTCATTGAGTCATTGTTTATGTATATCGATGAAATATAAGGACACGCTACTATCATTGTTCAATATTTACAAGAATAGAACGTTAGTCGTTATTTAAACATTTCACAATTAACAGTGAGTATAAAATAAGACAAAATTAAATTAATACGCGTTTTATACTTGTATTTAAGTAGATTAACAATTTTCAGATTAACACACGTACCATTTGTCATTTAATTGCAAATATTGGAAGAATTTGAATGACATTTATAAACAAACAAAATCTTCAATGGCAAGAACTAATGAAAACTGGAAACTCAAATCAATAAAACGTAAAAGTCAAAGTGCCGATACAAGCACGGAAACATTAGGCATATCTTCCTTAATTGGTATAATAGATGCAAATCCCAATACAAGTTATTCAATAAATCCTAATAATAAACAGAAGTATAAAAGCAATGAAATTGAAGAAATCAGTAAAGAAACAAATACTTATAAAAATATTTCAAGTTCTGAAAATATTTGTTCACAAATCACACCTATCAACGATGATAAATTAAATATCAAACAAAGAAGTAATAGAAGTAGTAGTAGATTAAAACAAATTTATGAACAGCCTACATTACATGATTCCCATTTCAAAGATGATAAATTAAATATCAAACAAAGTAGTAGAAGCGGTAGATTAAAACAAATTTATGAACAACCTACATTACATGATTCCCATTTCAAAGATGATAAACAAAGTAGTAAAAGCGGTGGATTCAAAAAAATGTATGAACAACCTACATTACATGATTCCCATTTCAAAGATGATAAATTAAATATCAATAAACCTAGTAACCAAAATATAGGAAAAAATGATGATTTAATGGAAAATGTATTAGAAGAAATCTCTGATACAGAATATGAATTAAGTACCAGTGAAAGTAGTAAAAGTGTTTCACCAATTTCAGATTTAGATGTTGTATTAGAAGATACAGTAAGCAAGGATGATAAATTAAATACCAATCAAAAAAGTAGAAGTAATTCACCAAGTATAGTTTATGAACATATTACAACACCTGATTCTTTTTCCGAGGATAATAGATCAAACATTAATCGAATAAATAAAAAAAGAAAAATTATCACATCAATTGAAGACTGCGAAAAATCTATAACACAAGACATACCTCACAAGGAGGATGAATTAAGTACCAATGAAAATAATTCAGCGATTGATCATTCAATGAAATCTGTATTACAAGACGAATCTCACAAGAAGGATGAAGTAATAATTATCGATGAAAATAATGAAAATGAGGAAAAAATAAATGATTATGTAGAATCTGTATTAGAAAATATCTCTTTCAAGGTGATTGAATTAATAAACAATCCAAATAATAGAAGTCTTTCACCAATTATAGATATAGGACCCATAATAGATTGCTCATGTTCCGAGGATAATAATACAAATACCGATCAAAGAAGTACCTCACCAGTTATAGTTTATGAAGTTATTACAGTAGGTAATTTCTCTTGCAAAGATAATAAATCAAATACTAATGAAAAAAAAGAAACAAAACAAAATAGTTTATCAATTTTAGGTTCCAAAAAATCTACATCACGAAACGAATTTCAAAAGGAGGATGAATTAAATACCAGTCAAAGTAATCAAATTGGTTCACTATCTCTAAATTTAGAATCTAAATTAGAAGATCCATCATTAAAGAATAATAAATTAAATAATAATCAAAGCAATGCAACTAGTTCGCCAATTGAAGACCTTGTAGTATCTACATCTGAAGTCACATTTTCCATGGTTGATGATGAATCATATATGAATGAGAGTATTTCACCAATTCTAGACTCTACAGAATCTATAATATCAAATGGCTCTCCCACTGAGGTTGAGTCTTCTTCATTTGCAATTTCTACAAAGGAATCTTCATCAAATGACCAATTTTATATGGCGAGTCAATCAAGTATCGATGATACTAGTATAAGTGATTATTTATCATCACATCTAAGTAACAAAGATACTAGTATAAGTGATTATTTATCATCACATCCAAGTAACAAAGATACTAGTATAAGTGATGATTTACTATCACAGTCAAGTAACAAAGATACTAGTATAAGTGATGATTTACTATCACAGTCAAGTTCTAATGAATATACATCGCAAGATGAATCTTTCGAAAAAGTTTCATTTATAAATGAAAATAGAGCAACTAGTTCGTGTATTAATACAGTATCAATAGAAAAGAAAAAGCAGGAAATTGGTAATTATCATGAAACTGTTAAACATTTAAAGCAGAATATTGCTGAAGATTATACAGAAAGTAATTACAAATTACAGATTGAATATTTAAGATGTTTCAATAAAAAAGGAATTTTTTATTATACTTCAACATCCAAACTTTCCTTCAAGACAATAAAAGAAACAATATCAAATATCGATAAAACTAGTTTAATTTTTATCAAGGGACCAAGTGGATGTGGAAAATCAACTAATGTACCATTTTATATATATACTTCTTGTTTGAAAAAGAATATTAATTGTAATATCATCATAACTCAGCCTACAAGTATTGCTGCTATCACTATTGCAAAGAAGCTTTGTAAAAAGATAAATTGTTGTTTAGGAACTTATGTAGGATATCATACGGATTTTGTAAAAAGTATAAGTACAGATACTTTTATCACGTATTGTACGAATTATATTTTATTACGTAAATTTGTGAAAAGAAATGTAAATAGTTATACTCATATTATACTTGACGATGTACATGTACGCAGTAAAGAATTAGATATCCTATTGTATCTTACAAAAATATATTTGATGAATAATTCATCAAGAGGAAAAATAATACTCATGTCTGCGGCACTTGACTTAGACAAATTTATGAATTATTTTTTACAAGATAATCTAAATATATCATCATGTTTGATTAGATTTTTCAAAAAATCATTGACGTATAATAAAAACATCAATTACTTGAACGAACGTTCTTTATTGGGATCGTCTAAATTAATACAACGTATGATGATTTATTGCGGTAACTTAATAAAGGCTATTGAAGATTCAGAATTAAAGAAAAATAAAGGAAAGATATTGAATAAAAAAAATGGCATTTTAATATTCTTGCCGAAAATTCAAGAAATCGAACAAATGTATGATATATTAACGTCGGACGAATACAAATATCAATGGGATATTATCATATTTGATTCTTCAATCAACATCTATAAACAAGAAAAATTATTAAATCCAGAATTACCGTATAAAAATCGTCGTATCATTTTAGCCACAAATATTGCTGAAAATGGCATTAAAATACCTGACATCAAATATGTCATAGATTTTTGTTTAACGGCACAATTAGAGATTAATCAAAAGAGCAAAATACCACAATTGAGAAATATATGGGCCAGTAAAGTAATTTGCGAACAACGTTCTAATCGTATTAGTTGCAATGGAAAAGGATACGTTTATAGATTAGTAACGAAGCAATTTTATACAGAATTATTATATAAAGAACTAAATCCTGAAATAATGGAATGTCCTTTAGAAGATATGTTCATTCAAATGAAAATTTATCAGCATTCGTATGAATCGAATAATATATTTTCTTCATTAATTGATCCACCACCTTTAAAGAATGTAGAATTATCACAATTGTTATTACAAGAATGTGGTGCATTATGTAATAATATCAATGAAGATAATATCAATATTACACAATTAACAGATCTTGGACATTTAATGGGTGCATTACCGTTAGAAATTCATCTTACTAAATTAATATTATTAGGTTATTTCTATGGTCTTACGGAAGATATGATAATAATTGCTTGTTGTATGTCAGTAAAAGATATATTTTTCGCGTTATATGATAAAAAACAAGCATTAAACATTTATTCGGAGAAACTTCATTGGGCCAATGGTTCGGATAGCGATTGTATAGCATTATTAAATGTTTACAAAGAATGGATTAAAATTCAAAATATGAGTATAGATTTTCAACAGAAATGGGCCAAAATCAATTTCCTTCAGATAGATGCGCTAAATGAAGTTTCAATGCGAATTACTATCGTTAAAAATAAATTACGTCAGTTTCATATTGATGAAATGAATAGTTGTAACGCGATTAAATGGAATATCAATATGGTCGAAGAAGTCATTATGAAAATAATTATAGCCGGTGCATTTTATCCGAATTATTATAATAAATGTACACATCTTGAAAGTTCATATCGCAAGCATCATTTAACGAGATATTTTAATGCAAAGAATACAATAATTTTAGAAAATTTTCCTGTACAAGAACCTAAATTCTTCTATATGCGTCAAACAGACAAAATTTTCAAACGTTACCTTAACAGTCATTTTGAAACAATAATCTCTTCTTCTTCATTATCTTCACAAATATATATTCATTTTAAAAACGAAGAAGATAGAGAAATACCATTGAATGTTTATAAATCGATTCAAATGAGAAAGCTTAAAATACCTTTCGAAATAAGTTGTTTAAATGAAAAATATCCTAATCATGACAATATTTTCGAAGAAAATTATATTGACACATTGTCACATTATTACATAAAAAATAGTAATATATTTAAAGACGAATATGCTTATATGAATCCAATGTTACCAAGTATTACAGTGTCAACTTTTCCAATTGATAAAATTGATTACATTAGTCCTTACTATTTTTTGGTACAAATGAAAGATTCACAAATAAACATGACAAAAGAAATGATAATGAAATCTTTGAACGAAGATTCAAACTCATTAACGACATTTAATATTCTACCAAATGTAAATGATCTTGTGGCTGTTCCATTGGAAATAAAAGATGATATAGTGTTATATTATCGTGGTATAGTAAAAAAATACGAAGAAATGATGGATGAAACGTATGTTACATTGCAGTTAATTGATATTGGATTTCCTTCAGTTAAAGTTTTATGTAATCTAATGAGAAAAATAAAAAACCCATATATTTATAAAATTCCAGCCTTAATATTGGAATGTGTTTTAGCTGGGATTCAAGATAATCCGAATAAGAACGATCAAGATACATCGTCTATGGATTTTATTAGAGAATTTGTCAATATGAATGATACTAATGAAAACCAATTGCATGGTGAAATTTATTCTATTGTTAATAATGTTGTAGCAATAACATTGTTATTGAAAACTGAAGAAAAAACGTACAACATAAATGAATTATTATTAGATAAAAATTATGCAATAGTTAAAGAAGAAAGTCAATTGTCAAAAGAAAACAATTATGTGAGAAATAATTATTTACATATGTCCGAACAAGCAATAGAAAGTTATAACAAGATGCAATATCGTGACGAATGTTCAAATGATTCTTGTGCTTTTGTTAAATTAGATTCAGACGTTAAAGAATTCAATTCCATGAACAAAATAACCTTGACTGGTCCTTATTCTTTACTTGAATGTAATTTGTCAGCTCTAATTAAGGGTGGCAAATTAAAAAGAGCTATTATCGATAGCAATTCAATTAATTCAGTTATTCTTGATAATGATACGAATAAAAGAAAACAAAATAAAGATTTTTTCTTAATTGCTGGTAAAGTAATGCGTAATGTAAATGACAATACATTAATGTTATATAATAGCACTGTAATAGAATCAACATGTGGATTACAAGCATTAATTACATTATTATTTTCATCACATTTAGAATTAAGATATGATTTATCTGGTACATGTTGCATAGGTGCTCTTTGCGGATTAGGATTTGATAAATATACCGGATATAGTATTTTTCCAGAACATGATATGGCAATACCATTCAATTATGAAATATCATTGAAAGATATTAAACTGATTAATGATATAAGAAAATATATGAATAAAATGACACATTATTCCAAAGACATAGATCATGAGACAATTATGAGAAGAAGGATTATGTATCAATATATGATACAAATTTTAATATTGAAATTATTGAAAAATGATAGGAAGGAAAATAAACATATATTTCCATTGAATTATGATAAATGGAGACTGTACGAGGAGAAATCAAAAATGATTAATCGTAATTATCAATATAATGTTTCTTTTAATGATAAAATTTACGAAAGTCATTCGTTAAATGGATTAAACTATTTTAAATAAATTGTGATTATTATTTTTATAACGAATCTATATATATATATATATATATACATATAGATGTATTATGTTCTTTAAAGTGTTCGAAAAAAACAAAAATATTTCTACATATTTAAACATTACGACTTAATCTGTAAACGATTGAACATTCATTTGTGTATATAATAAATCATTATAATTAATAAAATTATCAAATTTTTATACTTTTCAAAGTGTACTATGAAAATATTTAATAATCATAATTAATCAATGTATATGTATAATATAAACAATCATAATGTGGTATAAAATAAGTAAATGCAATTTTTATTATTACAAAATATATATATATATATATCTATATATATATATATTTTATAATATAAATATTATAATATTGAACGAATTCTTATTGATTATATTATCGTTATAATTAATCCAACTAGAAATAGATATTTTCTTATCTTTGTTATCTCTCATTGTCTATCGATTATAATTTTCTTTATAGCCGAAAAGAGAAAAAAATTATTTAGATATCTACTTATGTATAATATAATAAATAAAAATAATGTGTAATAAAAAATTATTAACATATTAGCGACCGTTGACGTGAATTCACGTCATATATATGTATGTATATATATATATTGTTTTACATTTGAAAAATTTAATAAAAAAATAAATTTAAATAATTTAAATTTATATTTATATATTTATATAAATTGTATATATGTACTTAATTTATATTTATATATATATTTTATATGTATATTTTTATTATACATATTATGTATTTCACATAATATATATAATAATTGAGATTATATTAAAAATATTATATGTAACTTAATTAATATAAATATTAAATAATATTATATATTACATATATATATATATATATATATATATATAATAAAAATTTATATAAAATATATATATAAATTAATTCCGATCATTACGACACCCATGTCCAAATTGAATACGTCCGAAAAGTATTAAATTTTGTTTTTACTCTACTTTTTCAAAATACCTATGATACAATGCTAAATAAATTTAGTACAATAACAACAATTGGTCTATTATTTTATTTACAAAGCAAGTATACAAATATATNTATATATATATATATATATATATATATAAAAATCTTGTTATTCTAAACAACACATAATAATTGCAATTGCATTGATATTTCAAAAGAAATTTGATCATTTTTTATCCTTACTTTAACGCGATACAAGTTAGCAGCAACTAATTTCAGAATTTCATTATTTTGGTTGGTACTCAGTATTAGAAACAAACAAAATATATCGATCGTGAATGTGTTAACAATCAAATCTTTGATTTGTCATAACTGTTACATTATAATCTCAATCATATAACAAGAAGATAGAATCGTTCAACAGTTGTTAACGATCAAATAATTTATTAATTGTATAGATAAAAATTAAGATGTGATAAACAAATGAAAAAGAAAGAAAAAAAAAGAAAGAAAAATTGATGAAAAGAAGAAGGAAAAGGAAAATAATCAAAACACAATGATATAATGATTAGATAAATTAATCGATCATTAATCTAAAATTTCTTAATCAATATTGAATTTCTTTATAAAAAATTATTGTTGCACATTATCATGTCATAACATAGTGAATAACACGTGTGTCGATAACAAAACATATTATCATATTATGAAATAATATAAGTTATGATTAAAATTAAGCTAATACATTGTACAAATACCTATTTACTTCTTTCTTTCTTTCTTTCATTAAATAACTTTTCTTAGGATTTTCATATTAAAATACTTTTCATTACTTATCTATTAATTAAATAGATTTTACGTAGGTTGAAACTTAAATAGTGGCAACTATTTATTCACAACTGATACAAAAAAGGGTTACATGTTTGCATATATATATGCAATACGTAATTCGATAGAATTATCATAACTCTGTTAATTACATACTATGTGAGTTAGCAATATTATCAAAAAAAAGAAGTAATCTGGTAACGAAGTGGAATCACACAAAAAAAAGAAAAAAACTACGAATGCTCAGATTGATAAGAAAGAATCAGTACAAATGATAGAGATAACAATGTCAATGTAACATAAAAATAAACCATCAGTATATGTATGAAAGAAAGAGAGGGAGATATAATAACTATATAACACGAAATAAAATACTAAAATGTCACATTACGTTGTAAAATGAACACGTGAAAAGGCGGATCGGTTTAAACGAGTTTATTCAAAATTTATCATTTGAACGATGTTTCTAAATGAAACGAATTAAAATAAATTAAATGTGTTCGTTATTTTTATTACATCTTATTAAAAAAAAAAAAACAAAGTTTACATCATTGAAATATCAAATGACAATATTGAAAATTAAATCATTTTAAAAAGAAATTCTGTGGACAATTCAACGAGATGCAGTATTAGATTTGCAAAAAAAAAAGGACAATCATATTCTTGGATCTTCTTATTTTATGTAAGTATATCTTTTTTTATTAATTTATTTCATTATTTGTCATTTATTTAATGATTTTGAAAATCATTTTCTTGGGGAGAAAGAAGAGAAATCAAATTTATATATCGAATCTTAATTATTCGTGATATTTTAATCATTAAATAATCTATGACTGAAAGAGTAGAATTCTCTGTAACGTTTTATAATTTATTTAAATAATAATACGAATAATGTATTAAAACAACAGAGCATACGAAAAATTTACATAATTTAATATTGTTTATATAGAGATCAGTTGGATAGAAAAATTAGTTACAAACACATTTATATTTTATCAAAAATTGCGAATCAATAACTTTTTATTATACTAATAAAGATAAACATCATTTATATTTTAATTATTTTTATTTACTCTTTCTCTCTCTCTCTCTCTCTCTCTCTCTCTCTACTTTAAAGATAATCTACCAATGATATAATTTTAAGTGTTTTGCTTAAAAATAGAATTACATATAAGCAAAAAATAAAATTTGATCAGGCTAAGCGATAAAAAGAAAAAAAAACAAAAGAAAGATCATAATTAAAATGATTTTTTTATTTATTATTTTATTATTTATACATATACATACACATGCACATACGTAATAAAATAAAATTCGACCAGGCTAAACGATAAAAAGAAAACAACAAAAATTATGTGTGCAGATTACACGTGTTAGAAGTGAAACCTTCAAAAAACGAAGTTTTGAGAGAATCAGATGAATGCACAGTTTCAAGAGTAAGATAATTGTAAGATAATTTAGCCACCAGATAACGTATTCAAGTGCTAAAGAGATCCCACATGGTGTAGCAATTCGACATATCTACTCTAATTTTGAATTTAGCCACCAGATAGCGTATTCAAGTGCTAGAGATCCGCAATAGCTATATTCTGTCTCATTCTCTCGCAGGCTCAATCCTATATGTTTCTCTTCTTTTTTATTTCTCTATTTCTCTTCTTACTAAATATCGTGGCCGTTGCATAGCCGCCCGCCGCTCCGTTACCTAGCCGCCCACCGCTCCGTTGCATCGCCGCCGCGTTTCATTTGTTTCAAATCACTCCCTATTCTAAAGAAGTTTTCACTTCAAAAACGATCATAATTAAAATTATTTTTTATTTATTATTGTTTTATTATTTATACATATACATACACATACACATACTTAATAAAATACTGTTATTCTTTTTTCAGTGGACAAATGAAAGAAGACATTTACTAAATACTATTCAAAGACAAACATGGCGAAAAATAATGGAATTTCTAACGAAACTCTCGTCTTCCCAGCTGGTCAAACGCTCAAGGCGAAAAAACTGCCGCAACTTATAGCAAGTTTTGCAGTATCGTTAGGAGCAGTAGCAGCAGGTTTAACGACAGCATGGCCATCACAGACTGGTGAAGATGGTATTAAATTATCAGAAACATTTAAGTTTCCTATTACACCAGAAGAATTCTCATGGATCGGATCGTTGGCACCGCTTGGTGCTGCAGTTTCGTGCGTACCAATTGGTAAACTATCAGATATTATTGGCAGAAAGTATGCTATGTTATTACTTATAATACCATTTACGATTGGCTGGTTGTTTATTATATTTGCTAGTTCTGTCATTTATTTTTATATCGGGAGATTTCTGACAGGTTTTAGCGGTGGTGCTTTTTGCGTAATGGGTCCAATGTATACCTCGGAAATAAGTGAGAGTAAAATACGTGGAAGTTTAGGTACATTTTATCAATTATTTTTATGCATTGGCATGTTAATGGTATATGCTTTAAGTAAAATTTTAAATATATATGAAATATCTATTATGTGTGGTATTGCACCGTTAATCTTTGGTATAATATTCTTCTTCATGCCTGAAACTCCGACGTATTATTTAATGAAAGATAATGAAACAGCTGCCAGGGAAAGTTTTAAAAAGTTACGTGGTTCTCAATATAACATTGAACCGGAATTAAGTTTATTGAAAGAGACGATTGATGAGATTAAAAGAAATAATGTATCTTTTCGAATAGCAATGCGATCTAAAGCTTGTAAAAGAGCTATCATTATATCTTATGGTTTAATGACGTTTCAACAATTGTGCGGAGTTAATGCTATAGCAATTTTTATCACTTCTATATTTGAGAAAGCTGGTGGTTCGGTTAGTGGTAACGACGCTAGTATTGTAATAGGTGGGGTTGGAATAATTATGGTAGGCCTCAGTTCTATAATAGTAGATCGTTTTGGTAGAAAAATAATCATGATAATATCTATTGCTGGTACATCCATATCTACTTTTCTATTTGGACTTCATTTCTATTTTATAGAAGAAATAGATATAACTAATGTAGGATGGTTACCTATAGTATCCGTTATCTCTTTTATCATTTCATTTGGAGTCGCACTTGGTCCACTTCCATGGATGATGATCAGTGAATATTTTGCGCCAGAAACTAAAGGTATCGCTGCTAGTAGTGCATGTTTGTTAAATTGGGTATTGGCATTTATTGTAACTAAAACTTTTATTAATTTGAATAATGTTATAAATACCTACGGTACCTTCTGGGTATATACAATCATTTGTGCTCTAGGTATTCCCTTTGTTATATTATTGGTTCCTGAAACAAAAGGAAAATCGTTAGAACAAATTCAACGTGAATTAAGCGCATAATTGTTAAATATTAATAAAACATCATATATATATATAATATAATGTATTGAGATCTCTGGCAGGAGTGTGGCGTAGCAATTCGACCTATCTACTCTAATTTTGAATTTAGCCACCAGATAGCGTATTCAAATGCTAGAAATCCCAATATACGTAATATTTTGTAATGTAGTATACACATTGCAAATGCACATGTTACGAGACTGATTTTTTTTTTTTGTATAAATCTTGAAAGTCTGTAATATGTGTTTCGAATTTATAAATAATATATTATTTATAGTTTTACATAATTTATAATCGTTTAAGTTAACTTACATTAGTATTTTTTCACTCAAAAATTTTTTGTTTCAATTGATCTGCCATCTAGCGAAAAATCTGGATACTAATGTACGGTAATTTTGCCAAGCATTCAAAATTTTCATTTGTAGAGAAACAAATGAACTTTTCTCTTTTTTCGCTAGATGGCTGATCGATCAAGTTTATCAAAGATTTTAAAGGGTAAATTAATAAAAAAAAAAAAACAAAAATATGTTTATTAAGATCACCAATTTTTGTAAAATATCATTAACACTATTTTCTACTATCATTTATTCATAATTATATCAAATAAATTATAAGTTAGCAAATAAATTTTCATTACAATATTCTAACATTTATAACAAATCCTATATGACATAATAATTTGATTTATAATACAAAATTTATAGATCATTTAAACAATTTATTTTTTTATAAAAAAAAAAAAGAAAAGAAAAAATTTAGAAAATAAATTCACATCTGATTGTGAGATCAAATACGTATTACGTATCGACCTTCGTTCATCATTACATTTGCGTTCTCCTTTATACGAATGCATGAATACCTGTGAATAGAATTAAAAAGATGGATTGAAAAATAAAACGAGAGTGGGAGAAAGAGAGAAAAAGGATAGTGAAAATAATTGGGTATACTGATAAAACGAATCAACGAGAAAAAAAAGGAATGTGTATATGGAATTGCTTACTTACATATATATATAAATCATATATGTACGCAATGTGTACAGCCAAATATGTAACAAAAGATATGTAAGCACATCCCGTCAATGATCGAATGAGTTTAAAATGGTTTTGACCGGTGGATCGTTAACCAAGTAGATATTTCCTGTCTCAGATTTAATAATAATTCTTCAAAGTCATATCAATTTTTACAATGTTCCTTTTACAGGATATATTATAAGAAATATTTTGTAATAATTAATTCTTCGTTGTAACATTGACACAATATTTGAATTTCGCGCTTGCTTAATAGAATGCAATTTGAATTTTTGACTTGCAATTTGAATTGATATTACAAATAGTAGATTATTCGTCTTAAAGTTAGTATTACAAAATGAATGTATTATTTATATAGTCATTTGGTACAAATGAATGTTAATGAAAGAAAATGACAAATTTACGATGTTTTTTTTTTCTCTATTCTCGAAAAATAATCTAAAAATACATCTCGTATCACATGTATTTCTCCAATAAGTTATATGTACATATATGTCGTTTATTTTCAATCTTAATAATAACCAAAGGTAAAGAAATTTTGATCAATCCTTTCAATACAATATTTCTATAGATATATTTCTATACGTAGATAAAAAAAAAAAAAGGTCATACGTAAATAAAGGTTCGTTGAATTGATTTCCTCCAAAGAAATGTTAACTTACCGTATCGGTAATACAGTTTCTTACTTAACCCACCGTGTCATTCAAATTGCAATTTCAAACAATTCTTTAAAATAAAATTCAAAACAATTACCAATCACATTGAATTGTTTGAACTGCACTTGTAAACTGATGCAAACTAGCTACGTGGTGTTACTTATAAGATTGATTTATAAAATGTTATCTAAAAAATGGCTACATTTCGATTTTCGATGAACTCATTATTCGTCGATAAGAAACTTTCTTTGGTGTACATTGTATGTACTCTTTTATACTATTGTTAAAAGTTTTAGTGAATTGTAGGTATCCAGTGTCAGGTCGACAAAATAGAGATAAAAATGTATAGATAGATAGATAGATAGAAAGGGTGAATACTTTTTGAAATGTTGACGTCATTGAAAGCATCTCATCATATATATATTTTATCTCACTCACTCTTACATGCTCATCTCGTGTCTTCTTTTTATTTACTCTACATATACCTTTCTCTTTCACGTATACATACATACATACATACATACATATAAATATATATATAGTCTATTCCTTCCTTTTCTCTCTCTTACTTCTAGTCGTGTTCTCTCTCACTTTATATGACGTCACTGTCGACATAATCGATTCGAATCGGACGAGGCTTGCCTAACCTTACGAGAAGAATCCTAAATTGTCTTCTTTTATTCTACAAAATTATGCAAATAAATATATA